TATATATAGTTATTTGGTTAATAGATGGGTAGGTAAAGAAAATATAGACATCTCTTATAATGCATATATATATATATATATATATATATATATATATATATATATATATATATATATATATATATATATAATATATATATATATATTGTGCAAATATGCGAATCGGTATATATGTTCACATACATACACACACACACACACACACACACACACACACACACACACACACACACACACACACACACACACACACACACACAACACACACATAATATATTTGTATATATATGTACAAATATATGTATATATTCATACATATATATATATATATACATATAAATACATATATTATATATGTATATATATATATATATATATATATATATATATATATATATATATATATATAAACATCCACTATTTTATTTCATATATAGTAAGAACTTATTCACCAGAAAGAAAGAAGTTGTTTTGAATTAGCCCCATCATTTTTCTTCATGAGTGTCCCTTCATATATATATTACATGTTTTCAAGCCTCTAGAATCCTAAAATAGAGTCATTTAGCCTTGTAAAACTTCTAAATTCAATTTGTTTTTTGGTTTACTTTCTCTCTATTTAATATGTTAGAACCATCAACTTGAAAAGTATAGAAGCTTCAAAGATTATTTGAAATTTAAACTAAAAATGAGATAGATTTACTGATATCAAGAACTGCGCCAATGGACAAATTGTAACATCATTTATGTAATAAATTTTCATTGGGTTTTGGGCTTGATAGTTAACTGCAATTTATAGTTTTCTGTGGCTATTTTGAGTTATTTCTTAGGGGAGAAATACAAATATAGAGCACCAAGTTTTTAGACAATGTGCAAATAAAGTTACTTAGTTTTTACCTATGTCCATTTCATGCAACGTCCGTCACACACTTGTTTCTGATTACCCTCAAACTGTATGTCAAGCTAAGAATATTTCCTCTTGGCATGAGAATGTTAGTTGCATAAGCAGGCCTATTGCGCAGTACCGAGTGCTAAGAGTACCGAGTGCTAAGAGGTACTACTCTTGTAATAATGGCAACTGAAATAACTTCCAACCCCTTTGAATGTAACGTCCGTCACCGAGGAATTGCCCCTTTAACCTATGTTTGCCCGGAATTTACGGTTGAAGAAGCTGCATGGTATTGTGACTGATGGCTGTGTCTGTAAAAAAGAAATTCTTTCTCTGCTTTTTCCTAGTTTCCTTCTTGTTTCTCCTCTCAGATTCAAAGGACTTTTATCCATCTGTTAGAGCTCGTCGCCAAAGGGAGCAATGATGAGCCACCTCCTCCCAGTCGTTAGTCTATCCTTCGTTCGACTTCAGTTCGTCCTTCTCTCTTTGCAAAGAGCATCCACGCTCTTTCCTGTGGTCAACGTGCCAGATATGGTGAGGAAGTTTCTTTCTTTTCTTTTTGTATTCAAACTGCGTGTATCTGATCATCGTAAATGATGTTCCGGGATGGTCGCTTCAATGTTTTGTTCATTACACCGATGTTTACTATATAATCCTTTCATTCGATGTTAAGAACGACACCCAGATTTTATTGATGGCATTGCCCAATTTCTTAAAATCTGGCTGCGATAAAAAGGCCAAATTTCATAACTGTATGATAGGTTTTATAAACTAATGCCTAGTAGACCATGATGCTTATTTTTCTGCTTAAGTTTCTGTTCGTGAACTCGTGTTTGGCTAGTTTTCCGTGGGCCACACGAATTGGCCCTGTTGTATGTTCCACCTCCTTATTGGTGTATGTTGAAAAGGATATTTCCCAGATCAAGAGAAGCGAAGGCAATCTTTTCGCCGAAGTCTGAGGTAAACAACCCTAAAGCTGGCTGACAAAGACCTTGATCTCCCAAATATTCAGCGTAAGACTTAATAGGCATTGGTGAAATTATCGACTGATCTACACTGAAGTGGCCAAGATATGCCACTCATTGCAGTTAAGAAATTTGTTGTAAACTATAAATCTTGCACTGAAATTTAGCATCATTTAATAGTTATTTATTTAGGCGGTAACTGTGGGATTATCATGGGGAATCAGTTCGTATATAATTGCAGCAAGATACAATAAGCAATGTCTTGCAGGACCAAGACAGAGCCCTTCTTCAGGTGACATGTGGCCGGAAAATCTACAGGTAACACATTTTGAAGAAATACACGGCCAGATATGTTAATGTGCTGTGCCCGTGTAAGTAAGATGAAATATCAAACACAGACACATAATCAGCATAGTAATGGGGTGTATTTAAAAAGGTTCTTTTTATAAGGCTTTATTTTGATCGATAAACTTTCTTCTTTCTAGAGAAAGTATCAAACTTTGGTAATTAAGTTACGTAAACAATTTACCTCCTTCCATAGCTCCCTCCATTACCTCCGAAACCATTTCCACCAACACTTGGGAGGCTTCCGCTTCCAACAAGAATTCCAGGAGCCACACTGCCTCCTCCTACTCCGCCTCCGCCATAACCTCCGGCTCCACCTGCTCCACCGCCGACTCCACCTCCAATAGCATTTCCTCCGAATCCACCGCCGACTGCACCACCTCCACTTCCGAATCCACCGCCGACTGCACCACCTCCACTTCCGAATCCACCGCCGACTGCACCGCCTCCACTCCGAATCCACGCCGACTGCACTCCACTTCCGAATCCACCGCCGACTACCACCACTCCACCTCCTCCTCCGCGTCCTCCGTAACCACTGTCAGCCATCGCCGTCGCCAGCAGCGCTACGCTTATTACCTGTGACATAAATCAGAGACTTTATAATTATATCATATTCCTTCTACAAATCAACACAGTAATTCATGTATAAACTCCCAAAATAATTAAGAAATGCGGTAATTCATGTATTTACAAAATAATTAAGAAGTCATGCGGATATATCAGAAAGTCGTCTACATATATATATAATTGTTATTGATGTCAAATAACCCCTTTCTCACCATGAGACCGCGACGCATCTTGGCTGTTGTGGCTGACGGGATCCACCGAGGAGTGTACCGCCCTGGATCTTCGTCCTGATATTTATACGGTGGGACCTTTTGCCTCAAGTTACCACATTATTCAGTTCGAAGTCGCCAAGTGATCTCTTGAAAACAAAACAAAACAAGAAAGAAGCAAAAAAAAATCGGGAAGAGGCAGGAAATGTGCCAGTCATGGTTGGCGGCAAACGAGATTTTACTTGCTCTGTTACATGTACCGTCTTCTTCTCAAGGTACTAATCACGTGAGATTTATTTCTTGTGTATACATGGTCAAGTATATATGCGTATATGCATACGCATGTATTTCTAAATATATATATATATATATAATATAATATATATATATATAATATATATATATTATATATATATATATATATATATATATATATATATATATAATATATATATATATATATATATATATATATATATATATATATATATATATATAGAATATTAAATAAATAATATATATATATTATATATATATATATATATATATATATATATATATATATATATATATATACATAAAAATGTATATTAGAATTTATACTATATATGCTTATATATGAATGAATATCCCTTTATAAAAAACATATATAAATATGTGTGTGTGTGTGTGTTGTATATATATATAATATATATATATATATATATATATATTATATATATATATATATATATAATATATGCATATACATAAATATGCATACATATAGATATATGTATAATTATACTTATCTATAAATATTCATACATGAGAATATATATATGCATATATATGTAAATATATGCATATGTATATATATGCATATAGATAGATAGGTAGATAGACAGGTTTACAGATATATAAACATATATGTACATGTGTATGAGTGCAAATATATATATATATATATTTTATGTGTGTGTGTGTGTGTGTGTCTATTTCTAAATATATTTACACACGTATGTGTGTGTGTGTGTGTGTGTGTGTGTGTGTGTGTGCATCTATACCTATATATATTTATACACGCACACATTCATATATATGTGTACATATATATAACGTATATGTAGGGGAGAGTGGGGAATTTGACCAAAGAGTACGTTGATCCATGGGATTTAACTTCCTTAAATGCAGTCAATTCTGATAGAAGCCTTCAGTGCAGTACCCCTTCGTGGCCAGTATATAAAGTATCATCTTTAAGGGAAGGTTTTCGGTAGCAAAACATATATACACATTTTTTAATAAGCTACGAAATTCAAACCGCGAGGTTTAACTCATCTGGTTCTTAAATACTATAAAATAATTCAAAATGAGGTTTCGCAAATATTAGACGTGGATGCCAGACTTAATATAGGAAACTAGTAGCCTTATTGAATTTAGACAAAGGCTATAAGTATATATTTGAAAACAGCGGATTGGGGTACTTTGAACCACAAAATGTTGTTTGGTAAAACCGTGGTTCAAGATTCTTGTAATCTGACAGAAAACAAATAAAAAAAATCTTGTTAACAGTATGTGACAGATTCGATTCCTTCTCTTAGCAAATCGTGATTAAAAACCTAACCCTAAGAATTAAACCAAATTTAGGAAAATTCAATTAATTCATGGAAAAGTATTTATGACCTCTTTCGATAATCTATAAAATACTTGGAGTTTACATAATTATGAACAAGAGACGAGGTGCGAAAAGGGCTCTCGGTTCCTCAGGCTCCACGTGATTTCAACATTCAACCGCTGTTATTTGTTCACCTTGATTACAAAAAATGGTGGTGGAAATTGATGGAGTAATAACGAAAGAGCTTACATAATTATGAACAAGAGACGAGGTGCGAAAAGGGCTCTCGGTTCCTCAGGCTCCACGTGATTTCAACATTCAACCGCTGTTATTTGTTCACCTTGTTTCAATATTCTTGAGGACAATTGCGATCTTCGTGAAACCTTTTAGACTACCTTTAAAACTTGCGATCTTCGTGTCATCGAAACTGA